TCTCAATTGGGCTAAAAAACAAAAAGATGAATTGTATAAGTTAAAATAAGTCAGAGCAATTCAAATTAACAATTGACACAATGAAATATAATAAATAGTTTACTTAAAATTAAATATTTTGATCTTATCTGTTTCATTCTAATTCATCTATGTCATTTCCATTGTGAAGGTCTTGAACTTTTTGAGAAATTGATAATAAATGGGTTTTACTTTTTGTCCTAAGCCCTCTGAATTGTGGTCAATCAATTTCATTCAAAGATCCATTAATGTTTCAATTACATGCAATAGTTCATCTTTTGTCAATGAACTAGCTGTTGATTGTTTTTCTTCTTCTAATGTAACAGGAATAGGGTGAAATTTTTCTAATGACTTAGGCTTAGCTTTCCTTTAATATAATCCTGGTAACAATTGCAAGCTGTTGAACTAAACAATTTCATTGCTTCACTTAATTTGTTCCCATCCAAACTCTTAAAAACAGGTATATTTTTAGATGGATTAAGGAAATCATTATTTCCCAATTCTATTTGAAAGTGCTGTGATTCTTTCTCAAAATCAGGGCATGAACACAAACCATTGTTTTCTTGGTCATTATACTCAATTGTTTTAAATAATTTTTTTCGAAGCTGATGATGGCAAGGAAATTTGTAAAAACTTGTATTATTGTTATTAAAAATTATATTAAAATCAGTAAATGCTAATTACTTACCTTCAAAAACTTGGTGCAATTCCTTGCAGCAATCTCCCAATGTCTTTGAGTTGGCACAGGTGGAACAAGTGCCTTTAGTGTTTTGTTTATCTCTTCAAGTATTGCATCTAACCCTTGATGTTGATTAGACCATCCTGATTTTGAAACAGCAGAATTTTGTTCAATGAGCTGGTGAATTTCAGGATGAAGACGAAGTAATTGTTCTTCATAAGCAACTTCAATTGAACAATAAATGGGATGTCATCTTGCTGACCAAATCGGAGCAAAGGCCCTTCATGCTGCTGCTTTCAATAGTGGTAAGTTGTCTCTTATACTGGTATGATAATTGATTACAGCTTGCAAATACAAAAAATCTTCGATGATATATGGTTAATCAGGTTGTAAAATTATCATTGAGTTATTTTGCAAATATTAATTATTTACCTGTTCATATTTTAACTTATACAATTCATCTTTTTGGTTTTTAGCCCAATTGAGATATCCATCAATGCAAGGTTCAGAAACGGATACAATATAAGGCCATACCAGTTCCATTGCCATTGCATGCCAGTATATATTACAAATTGAATCCCATGCTTTGTGATGGTCTGCGCATTTTTTATAATATCCTAATTGTTTCTCATTATGAAACCCTTGACATTGTGCAAAATGTTTTAAATCAATATTCCTAAAATCAAAAAGAGTATTATTGTAAAATAAATTATAATTCAACTTAAATAGCACTTGTAACTATTACAAAACTTGCCAGTTCAATTCTACAAAAGCTTTTAACATATTCATTTCTTCATGAAATGGCCTGGGTATCAAGATAATTCCAGGATAATCATTTTTAAATTTTTGTGCATAATTGTATGGAACACCATCACAGACTACTGGAATCCACTTGCACTAACCTTTGTTGATTCCACTAATTTCTTGAATATGTTCTAATACTTTACGAACATTTTCAATTGAATTAGGATTTAATGGCAAAGGGTCTGGAACTAAAATCTCAGGCACCTTAACATCTTTTTGGGGTGGTGACTTTTGAGTTATGCTAATTGGATTTGCATAAGAATCCAAGTCCTCTTTTTGAACTTCATAGAATTTGATATTTAAAGGCTTGACAGCATTTTTCACAAAAGTTTCTTGTAAAATTTCCTCCTGTGTTACTTTTTGTGTTCCAGCAAGAGTAGGTAATTTTGCATTGCATGTAAAACAAATATGTTTTGTATTTAAAATTCCTTCCTTACCACATTTGTTGCACTTTTTTTGACTATCCATTGTCACATAATGTTTAACTAATAAGATTTGTGTCACCATTTTTTTCTGCACATGCTTCAGCTAATATAATGGCTAGATAATCATTTAATTCATAATCAAGTAGCTCTTGCATTGCTGGTATAATGTGATAAAGTTCTTTTATTTGTAATGTATCTAAAGTATGATATAACCAAGGCTCTTGAAGCATCTGTTTCTGATCAGTAGTATCAAAATTAAATGTAAGGAAACTTGTAACTGTATGAAAAGTTACAGTGTTATGGCCACGATCTAAATAGTTTTTTTGCCCTTTTTGTTCATTATCAAAGGCCAAAAATAATAAGCCTTTAGGAAGTTGCATCGGCTCACCAGCTAAATTTTCTTGCCATTTGAGAAATTTGAAAAGCTACCAGAACTCAAAAAATGTCAATATCTACTATTTTTTTGGATTTTACAATTGAATATTTAATTGCAGATGATGCTAAATTGATGGCAGAAACATATTTAAGTTTCTCACTTCATAGATAGCATTCACTGCCACAGAACACTTAAAAAGTTTTTCTCCCTCAAGTTGGTTTTCATTCTCATTACATATAACAGTTTTTATGAATTCTAAGACAACTGGATTTCATTCAGCCAGCCATTCAAAAGTTGAATAACCTAAAAGGTTATCCAAACTAAATCTTTTCTGATCGCTCATTAAATTTATAATATCATCATATATATTTTTACATTCTCTTTTAGCATTTCTCTTACAAATTCAATTCTTGTTTGTTGATCATTAAATGTATTATTCAACTTCTCTTTCAATTCTTGATTTTCAGATATTAATATTGAATTTTGTAATTTTAGTTCATTTATTCTTCGTTGATGCACTCCTATGATATTAATATATTCTATTTGTTGAGCCTCAGATTGGTTTAATTGTTCCTTTATTTTTTCCAATTCTAAAAAAAGATTTGCATGGTGTTAGTTCTGTTTTCGTGTAATTTTTGCATCTTCATCTATTCTTCATTGATATTCTTCAATAGTATTAATATATTTTATTTGTTGATATCTTTGCTTATTTGTTAAAAATGATTGAAATACTGGTGCACGGGAAGATGTATTAGGTCTTTGTGATGATGAGGCAGAAGCTGATGAGGGATTATGTTGATGTCGTTGTCTTTTTTGTAAAATGTAACTGTCTGATGTATCGTTTTCTTCATTGTCATCGTTATCGTCTTGGAAAGCAACATACGGTGTTTCATTTGAATTAAATCGATTGAATATCGATTGATCTGTCATTTTTTATTTTTATTTTGATAAATAATAAATTCTTTCGAATTTTTTAAAAAAAAAAGAAAAAAAATTTTTTTTATTTATATTTATCTGTCATTGACGACAACGCACAATAACTATTTAACAATTTATTCTATTTTGATCGACATTAGTATTGGTGATAAAATCGATTGTTGATCTTTTTTATGTTGTGAAACATGTGAAAAATAGGGCACAAAACTTGTTTAGCCCAAGATACATTTTTTTTTAACGCGTATATGGTGGTGGTGGTTATCGCCACTTGTCGTCACTCTAGTTATCATAACCTGTTATTCTGGTAATGCATTACAACTCTAGTTCTAAAAAAATCTCATTGGCAAAAAAATAATAAATATATAGGAAAAAACAAAAATCAAACAAACATTACCATCAAAACATACCAATAAACTTATTAATGATTTAACAAGATTATTGGATTTTTTTTTACAATATGGAAATAACAGTTGGAGAGGAAGATGATGCTAAAACCTTCAAAGCCCATTCTGTTATTTTAAAAGCAAGATCTTCATACTTCAGAGCTGCTTTATCAAACAATTGGATGAACAAATCTGAAGAAGGTGTCATTTTATTTGAAAAAAAAAATATATCTCCAAAAATATTCAAACCAATTTTAATGTAATATTAGTTTAATTTAATTTGATTAATTTGATTAGTTATATGGCAAATCTAAAATTATTAAAAATTTTTTTTCTAAAAGGTACATGTACAATGGAATTATTGATATGGACAATTTGAATATTGATGAAATTGTTGAACAGGGTTGATTTGTTTTAATGATGGGATGATCTTTAATAAAGTGATGGTTAGAGATTGTGTGGTTGGCACTTGTTCAACTTCCCCGCATGTGATGAATTAAATTTTGATGAATCTGATTTTAATGAATTACTTGATGATGTACAAAATCATTTTGATTGCAAATGAAAAAGAATGGAGGCTGGATCTTTTAAATTATTTATATCAAATTTCATCAAATAATCAATCACTTGGTATACTCAATGACCATATTGAAAAATTAATTAGCAATACACCATCATGTCTCCTAAAATCCAATGATTATAAAAATATCAAAGAACTGATGCTCATATTTATTTTAAAAAAAGATGTTTTGGATTTAGAAGAAATTGATATTTGGAATCATTATCATTCAAAATTAAACCATATCAAATGTTATTTCCTGAAGCTTTATGGAAAAATATTTCAACTCCTTATGAACAAAAAATGCGGAGAAGAAATTAGATCAATGGGGGAAGCAATGCAGATACAAAGCAAAACTTGTAACAGCAGTACATGTAAATATACACACTGTGCTGAAAGACTAATTCACTTAGAGTTGAAAAGCTTCAAAGTTGAATTAGCCTGATGCACAGTTTGTGATAAGATCCGCAATGAATGGTTTGATGTTACAAAGAAAGAGATGACTGATGTGATTGAAAATTGGGCAAATTATATATGGAAAAGCAAAATTTTTATCCTAATATTCTTTCAAATTATAGATACTATTATTATTATTTGGTAATTTGAGATAAATAAAAATATGGGGCATACTGCAACAAAGTGAACATTGGTGTTACCAAGGATTTCAGGGACAAAAATTTAGTAATGTGATTATTAAAATCTTCCATTTGTTATATTTGTTTTTTTCTTAATATTAAGTGATATATAGAATTACCTCTATATAAAAATAATAATATGAAGCTCATTTATATCAGATCTACCATGGAACCAAAGAATTATAGAAAGAACAAGGTGAAAAAAATTTATCCTTATATTTTCAAAATAAACAATACTCAGTATAGTGCAGGGACGCAGCTTTGATGATGGTTGCAACCATATTTGCAACATATAAAATTGGTTTTGTGGCCACTTTGCTTTCTCTTTTGAATTGCGACATGGAACACTAATACTCAGACATTGGAAGCTTATCTAAGAAAAGAAAGGATTACCTATGAAATTTACCAAGAAAGAAAATTCATAACTAACAAAAGAACATTAACACTGAACCACAAAGAACCCAAAAAGAAAAGAAAATTGAAATAATAATAATTTATCACTTAGGTTAATTTAAGTGTATGTAAGCAATGTGTTTATTGTTTTTTAAAGATTAAAAAAGTATAAATAAGATTTATTTAGTAAAATTATAGATATATGATATTTATTTATAATATAATAAAAATAA